GTCCAAACCATTTCCAGCCCCACTCATTTCTTCCTCCGGACAATGGTCCAACCATCTTCCACTATATCCTCTTCTTTAATAGTCTGGGTATTTGGTTCAGATGGTTCAGGCTGAGAGCAGACCCCAGCTGTAGCAGCCCCATCAGTCGTATCTGTGACCTGGAGGGGAAATACAGGAGAAAGCACTAAATACATGAGCCACTGGAGACCCAAGCTCTACTCCCAACTTTCCCAGGATTGGCTGTGTGAGCTACCCCTACCACCACCACCACCACCATCATCACTACCCTGTGAATCTAGCTGCTCTCTCAGAAAACTGAAAACATCTGTATCCCCTCCACCCAAGAGGCACCCCCTTTACCTCCATCTCTTCCACGCTGTCCACATCATCTTCATGCTCATCGGTCTCTCTGACTCCCCTATGTGCAGTGGCTGTGACTTTGCACTTTTTTTGGGTGATGTGAGAGGCCATCTCCCTCAGAGCAGCCTCATCACCCCTCTGAAAATGGTGGAACATGGTCTGCAGCTGCTGGCTCACCTAACAAGAAAGCATTCAAGCAGCGTGGATTTTCCAGAGAATCTATTTCACAACCAACCCAAATATACAAACAAGAGTAGGGAAGGGGATGGGAGTTTCCAGAAGAGAATGGAGTTTTTTCTCCCCTAAGAAATTCGCAGGACACTGGTAGCTCACACCTATAATCCTAGCTACTCAGGAGGCAGAGATCAGGAGGATCACAGTTCGAAGCCAGCCTGGGATAATGGTTCTGTGAGACCCTATCTCTAAAAACCCTTCACAAAAAAGGGCTGGTGGAGTGGCTCAAGGTGTAGGCCCTGAGTTCAAACCCCAGTACTGAAAAGAAAAGAAAAAAAGAGAAATTCACCAATGAAGCAACCACACCGGAAGGGTTCAGTTGAGGGTATGAAGCATTGAAGGAAGGCCTCCTAGCAGGGAAGGCACTAGAACTAAAAGGCAGAAGATGCAAAAGGGAAGGCAGTCTCACCAGGGGGAGTAATGTTAACCAAATAGGGATAGAAATCAACCTGGCTCAGCCTAACCTTGTGATGGGAATAAGGAATGATATATGGAGAGACTACAAGAAAGGTAAGGTTTGGCAAGGCCCAAAAAGACTACAGAGTTTTTCCTCAGCAATAGGGAGTCTTGGAAGTGTCTTATGTGTAAGCCAAGAGAAGAATGGTTACAGCCAAGAGTCTTGATCCAAAACCAACAGTCGGTAGCAGACTACAGGCAAGGAGATGGCAGCCATGTCCATGATAAGCTCACCTGGGGCAGGCTCCCATCCTCCACAACCGTGTCAAACTCATTGGTCATCAGCTCTCCAAGGAAATCTTCCACTTCATCTAGCTGCAAGTCAGCTGAGTAGGAAAGGACAGGGCCCTTTGGTCAAAGACCAGCCAACTTCATCACTCCTGCCCACTACTCTCCAATACCCTTTGGTGGGTCTGCGTCTGGTTGGTGGGGAAAAGCTCATGCAGTGAGCATTTGTGCACTAAAATGCTCTTTTATCTGCCCTATTTTAACTCCCTCCCCTCTACATGACTTTGAGCAAGCAACTTACTCCTCAGAGAACCTCAGTTTTCTCATCTGTAAAGTGAGGCTACGAGTGGGCTCATTAAAGGTCCCCATTATAAGGAGTCACCTAATACAATGCCTGGCACAGGGGAGATCCCTAATCCACCACTTAGGCGCTGAAAAGTTCTAAAATATTGAGACCCTTCACAACTGGACTCCACTCATGCAAGGAGGCCATAGACCAATGGGCAATAAGTGGATGTGGGTCAGGCACTGGTGACATGCCTATAATCCTAGCTACTCAGGAGGCAGAGATCAGGAGGACTTCAGTTCAAAGCCAGCCTGGGAAAACAGTCCACGAGACCCTATCTCAAAAAACCCATCACAAAAAATGGCTGGTGGAGTGACTCAAAATATAGGCTGTGAGTTCAAATTCCCAGTACCACAAAAAAAAGTGGATGTTGTACTTTCGATGAGGAAATCATCACAGTATTGACACCAACCTCCTACTCTGGCCAAGCCCTGCTCTCTGGGCTTCAGTTTTCTTCCAGGCCCACACTCTACATTTTCTGAATTATTCTTTAACTCTTCTCTCTGTATATGTTCTCCCTTGGACAGCTCATCCACCTCCTTGCTTTTCCCTATCACTCAAATCTAATATGACCTGAATCTGTCTCCACCTCAGACTATGTGTGTGCCTACATGTTTGACAGGTGACTCAAGCCCCTAAGTCTCCCATACCCAGACTCTGACTCCATGTTACCCTCCAAACCTGTATCTCATCCTCCATGGTTACTCTAATCCATGAAATCACCTTATCCGCCTACCACTCAAACCAGAAACCTGCCTCTTTTCCCCTCCCTCCTCTACAGCTAAGCACTCAATGCCCTAACCACCCCTTTCTTTCCCACGACTACTGACATTGCTTTACTTCAGGCCCCATCATTTTCTAGACCAAAATGGCCTTCTCCCGACTCTTTCCCTGTCTACTCCATGATTACTTTCTGAACTTTCTAGCCAGCAAATCCCATCCTATTACTCACCTTAGAACCTGCCCATGAATTTTTATCACCTACTGGAATGTTTCATAGTTTGCCTTTGGGAAACATCTGTTCTACTGAGTTTTAAGGGAAGCAATCTATAGAAAGGTAATGAAAAACAAAGGCAAACAGGTTCTTTCTAGTGGTTCTTATCTTATACATGCCTTGAATATGTTAATGAGTGTTATGACTCTTCAGTGGAAGAAGAAAAGAGCTTACATAATTTGACTGAACATCAAACTGAATAAGTCTTCCATAGCATACATTTTGGCAAAGGCACATAAGACCTTCCATATCTTACCCTCAAAGTGTCTCCCTGCCCCCCCTACATTCTCTACCACTTCTCCACTCTCCCCACCCTCACTACAATAGAACCCTCTGCCACATTCCAAACACTTTCCAAAATCTTCTCTGCCACATTCCAAACTCTTTCCAAAATCTCTCTGCCACATTCCAAAATCTTTTCATAGCAGAGACTCAGGAGTGTTGCTTTCTCTGCCTCCCCCCCCCCACCACTCAGCTAACTCCCTTTCATCACTTAAGCCCCAGGGCAATTACCACAGGAGCTGAGACCTCCTCCCCAGGCTTATTTTACTTCAAGAACCCTAAGTTCCTTTTTATCACAACACTATCTGCAGTTTTGTATCTGTCCATTCATTTGTCTCAATATCTCACAAGATAGTAAACTTTCCTGATATGACTTGGCCTGATAGCAAGTCCAAAGGTAGAAAATGAAGTCTTTTATAAAAGTCACAGCATTGACTATGCCCTTTACTGGGCCCCTTGATCTTGTACAATCCTCAAGACAGCCTAAGGTATCCAAGTTCCCACATGTGGTTACCAAGCACTTGAAATGTGGCTAGGTCATGGACTGGGAGTGTGGTTCAAGTGGTAGAGAATTAAGCCAGACGCCCTTAATTCAAGTCCCAGTACCAGAAAAAGAGGACAGAAAAGAGGCTAGGCTAAACTGAAATGTACTAAAACAATAAATTACTGTATTTTGAAAACTTAAATCTTTTAACATCTCTTTTAGATGTAAAATATTTATATTTCTGACATGTTGAACATTTTGGATGTGAGTTGGACAACATATCATTAGTTGTATATGCTTCTTTTTAATTTTATTAAAGATGGTTGCTACCTTTTTTCTGTGGTGCTGGAGATCGAACCCAGGGCCCTAAGCATTCTAGGAAAAAATGTTCTACCACAAAACTACAGTCCTAGCCCACCAAAACCAATTTTTTTTGTGGTACTGGTGTTTGAACTGGGGGCATCAAGTTTGCGGCGCTCTACCACTTGAGCCACACCTCCAGTCCATTTTATTCTGATTATTTTGGAGATTTGGTGGTGGGGGGGGTGTCTCTCGAACTATTTGCCCGGGCTGGCCTCAAAACGTGATCCTCCTGATCTCAGCGTCCTAAGTGGTGGGATTACAGAGATGAGCCACTAGAGCTCGGCTTAGCCCAACAATTTTTAAGTTACTTGTTATGACTCACGTAATTCTGGGGTAGATGCTGTCATACCCATTTTAGGAACTAGGAAACTGAGTCTCAGGAAGATAAAATGCCTTGTCTAGGGTAACAGCATGATTCAGTGACACAGACCATAAAGCACTCGAACCCAGGATCCTGACTCCAAAGCCTGAACTAGATCCACCTCTCTTTTAGGTAGCAACCGATAATTGCTTAATAAGTGCGGGCTCGCTGGCAGAGTGGCTCAAGCGGTAGAGGTAGCAAGCGTGAGGTCCTGAGTTCAAACGCAGTATCGCCCCCCGTTCCCCGCCCCTCAAAAAAAAAAACAGAGAAAAAGTGCGGGCTTCCTCTCCACGCTGCGACTCACACTTACCATTTGAGATGAAGTAATCTACTACTGCACCCCCTAGCCACTCGGCCTTCTCCTGGCTGTGCACTCCCCCGAAACCATTCTCCACCGCGATCTGCGAACACAGGCCCAAGCCCACCATGTCAGCTTGGGAAGCGGCCGAGGGTGGCCCAGTAGTCCGCCGCCTACACCGCCCAGCCAAGACTCAGGAGCCTCGCTCGGCCAACTCCTTTTTTGTCCTGGCCCTTAATCCTTGTCCCGTGGCCTCGCTCACCTGTAAAGCGGGCCAGGCGTCTAGCGCTGCGTGGACGCCAACGCTAAAGAGAGCTCGCGCGTCTTCCCCGGCACCCGCCATCATCCGATCGAGAACACGTGAAGGCCGCGCGGCCCAATCCCTCCGCAGCCTGCTCCAGACAAAACGAGTCGAATGCCGAGTCAAGAACGCAGACGCGCCTTTCCTCCGAGGTCCGCGGAAGAGCCAGGTGCAGATAGACTAGACCAATAGAAAAGTTCGTGGGACATTGGGGCGTGGCTCGAGCGAGCGCGCCCGCGTAGCAAGCGAGACGGCCTGCGTTCAAGCCCCATACCGCGAAAAAGAAAGAAAAAAAGGGCTCTTTTTAAATTCTCTTTGGAAAAATTTTTAAAAAATGTATATTTGATCAGTGCACAGAACTCTACATGCATTATATCAGACACATGAATTAATGTGTAATAATTTAGCAATAATACACCATAAAATATCTCATAATTACTTTTTCTGCTCTCTGGCCGTATCGTTTGTAAATAAATGCTAACTATATGAGTATTAAAACAAAAAAAGAGGGCTGGTGGAATGGCTTAACTGATAGAGCACCTGCCTAGCAAGCATGAGGCCCTGAGTTCAAACCTCAGTACCACCAAAAAAAAAAAAAAAAAAGCCCTTTGACGTGAAAGATAACACCACCACGCTTACTCACCTGTAATAATTAAATCACAGGATGCCAACCGTGCGGGATGTGTGAGACCTTGACTTCCATATTTGTGTACTTGCTGTGCAAAATAGATGTGGGGAGCTTACTACAGATACAGACCCTAGGCTCTGGGGCAGAGGACTCAGGAAGCACAGCCTAAAAATTCTGCATTTTCTTTTTCTTTCTTTTTTTTTTAATGAAAGTCGGAAGGATTTATTTTATTTATTTATTTATTTTATTATTCATATGTGCATACAATGCTTGGGTCATTTCTCCCCCCTGCCCCCACCCCCTCCCTTACCACCCACCCCCACCTCCTCCCTCTCCCCCCCCAATACCCGGCAGAAACTATTTTGCCCTTATCTCTAAAAATTCTGCATTTTCAACAGCTTCCTAGCATGTTTAGAACACTGCAAACAAAAATAGCAGAATACAAGTTTTTGAGATGGGGGCTCCCAGCTAGCCCAGGCTGACCTTGAACTCATGATCCTCCTGCCTCAGCCTCCTGAGTGCTATGTTTATGGGCCTTTGCCACCACAATAAGCGCAGCACTCACATTTTTCTGAAGTACACAAGAACATTCTCCAGGATATACTAATAGTAGTCCATAAAGCAGGCCTCAATGGATTTTAAAGGATTGCAGGCTGGAGATGCAGCTCCGTGGTAAAGCACTTGCCTAGCATGCTGGAGCCCTGGGTTTCCTCCCCAACACAACAAAAGAAAAGATTGAAATAATACAATTTCCTGAAATTAGAAATCAATAACAAAAAGAAGCTTGTGAAATTCACAAGCACATGGAAATTTACACACTCCATAATAATGAATGGGTCAAAGAAAAAACTCACAGGGGAAATTGGAAAACATTTGGAAATGAATGAAAACAAAAACACAGCATACCAAAAATTATTAAATGCAGCTGAAGAAACATTTAGAGGGAAAAATTTAGCTTAAAACTTAAAAAATTTTAACTGTAAATATTTAAAAATCAAAGAGGTCTCAAATTAATAACCTAAGTGTCCACCTTAGGAAAGTAAGAAAGAAAAGCAAAGTAATCCCAAAGCAAGCTTACGAAAGGATTTAATAAAGAAAAAAACAGGAATAAATGAAACAGAGACTAGAAAGGCAATGGAGAAAATTACTGAAGCCAAAAGTCAGTTATTTGAGAAGATCAACAAACTTACAAACCATTAGCTAGACTGACTAAGAAAAATAGAAAGACTCAAATTACTGAAATCACTAGTAATCAGTCAAAAGACACTGCAGGACTGGCAGAGTGTCTATCTACCTAGCAAGTTTGAGGCCCTGAGTTCAAACCCCTGTGCTGCCAAAAAAACCCTGCAAATACCATTTATAGGAAATGTACACAATAGGCACACCTGTACAGACAGAAAACAGATGTGTGGTTGTCCCTGGCATAGCAGGAGGTTAGGGTGTGACTCCTAATGGGTTCAGGGGCCATGCCCCCAGCCCTAGTCGGAGTTTCTTTTGGGGGGGTAATGAAAATGTTCTAAAATTAGATATGGTAATGGTTACTGTTATGCTAAATTGTGTGCTCTCCCCACTTAAAGCTCATACATGAAAGCCTAACGCCCAGTACCTCAGAATCTGACTGCATTTGGGTAGGGCCACATGGAAGTAATAAAAGTGAAATAAAGTCATATGAGTAGGCTATAATCCAATAGATTTATATCCTTAGAAAGAATAGGTGAGAGAGAGAGAGAGAGAGAGAACAGGTAGGAGTATTCACAGAGAGACAACCATGGGAGCACACAGCAAGTCTAAATGAAAAACACCAAGAAGAAAATCAGAAGAAACCAATCCTTGATCTCAAACCTCTAGCCTCTAGAACTGTGAGAAAATACACTTTTGTTTTATAAGCCAATCTGTCCTATTTTGTTATGGCAGCCCCAGCAAACTAATCCAACCTAATACTGTTTTTGGTTTTGTTTGTTTTTTGGTTTGGTTTTGTTACATGCCAGTGTCAAGGGTCTTTGCCTTCACAAGCCAGAGAACTGGCTAGTGAGGCAGGTGATTGATGAGGCAAAGCCGGTATAGGAAGTAGGATTTATTAGAGAGAAAGGAAAGGCTACAGCTAGAGCAAACAGCGGAGCCCGGAAACCAGTAGCTCACTGCTCAGGTGAAGGCAGGGATTTTTATGGATGTTTTGGCTATGGGTTTAGGTAAGAGTTAGGTGGGCTCTTTCATTGGCCATGGATTCGCAGGCTTTCTTAGATGAGCTGGTCTGTTTGCCCCTTATAGGGAGGGAAAACAATCTTGAGAGCATTTTGCTCATCAGCCCTGTGGCAGATCTATCAGAACCTGTATCTCCTCTTCAGGGTGCAGAAATGCAGTTTTACAACTCCTTCTCAGGAAGCAGGAGTGTAGTGCTCTCCATGGGGGGATGGGATACTCACTCATCTGCCCTAAGTCTTCAGACCCAATAGTTTGTTTTTGTTTTGTTTTGTTTTTTCTTTTGCAGCAGTACTGGGGTTTGAACTCAGGGCTTCACACTTGCAAGGGAGGCATTCTACATCTTCAGCCACACCTCCAACCCAGTAGTATGTGTTTAGTAATGTAAACATACTAAAAACTGTTCAAAGAAGAAGCCAGTCTTGGCTTTCAAAATGTTTGTGGAATTTTTCAGTTTTTAAAGATTTTTGCTGGGTGTGGTGTTGCATGCCTGCCATCCCAGCACTGCGAAGTCTGAGACAGGAGGATCTTGAGGTCCAGACTGCCTGGGCTCCATAGGGAAAACTTGTTTCAAAAACTGTTCAAAATGTACACCTCGGCATGTAAACAATATCTCAATAAATTTCTTTTTAGAAGAATATCTTAGAGTATCCTGGGTGATTTCCCTCACACACCAAAGATCACAAACTGGTCATGCTAACAAACAGTACTGTCACTTCCATGCCTGGACCTGTGCTAAACCTTCTGGGGCATGGAGTTTGGCCCGGATGCTAGAGAACCTTGTGATCTGGCATACAGAATTGTCCAAGGACCACAGACTACGATTGGTGTCCAGAGTGAGTCTAGACCTGATTCAGTAATAATTTTACAAGCCTTCTTTTTTTAAAAAACAGACTAGGGTTGGGATGTTTAGCTCAGTCGTAGAGGACTTGAGTTTGATCCCAGCACCTCAAAAGTTCTAAAAAGGACAAAATTAAGTATGAGAGTATTTCTTTAGAATTATTAGAGAAGTCACAAATTTTACAAATTCATTTTTTGGTGCTGAGGATTGAACCCAGGGCCTCAAGCATGCTAAGCTCCCACTCTATCACTGAGTCATACCTCCATCCCTCAGTTACAATTTTTTGGGATGTGGAGGTTGAGACAGGTTCTCAAATATACAGCTTAGGCAGACCTTGAACTCTATGTAGCCCAGGCTAGCCTTGAACTCTCCCTTCTCCTGCCTCAGCCTCCCAAGTGCTGGGATAATACCAGCACAAATTTTTAAAAACTGGCAAATCAAGAAAATTTTTTTTGTTTTTTTATTTTTATTTTTTCAGAAAAATAAAATATTTCAATTAATTGCCTGACTCACCACTCTACCAATTTTTCCTACATTTTGGGGAAATGACATTTTGTCAAAGCACTTTAACATCCTTTTTTTTTGTGGTACTGAACTCAGGGCCTTCACTTTGAGCCACTCCACCAGCCCTATTATTGTGAAGTGTTTTTTTCAAGATATGGTCTCATGGAACTATTTACCCAGGCCAGCTTCAAACCACGATTCTCCTGATCTCTGCATCCTGAGTAGCTGAGATTATGGGCGTAAGCTACCAGTGCCCAGCTCAATATCTTCTTTATATGAAAATTATTTATGATAATTATTTCACTTTTTTAGAGAGAATACAAAGAATTCAGTTGATTTTAATTCAATTTGGTTGGTCAATTTTTTTTTTTAATTTTTGGTAGTCCAGAAAATTTTCAACTTCACAGGGCCAGTTGTGTGGCTCAGGTGGTAGAGCATCTGTCTAGGAAGGCCCCGAGTTCAAACCCCAGTACTGCTGATAGGTAGCAGTTAGACATAACTGGTGGCCATAAGAGGAGACAGGGAAATTATATTACTTTAATAAATATTTAAAGGGCCAGACTCTGACATTAGAACAAGGAGAGCCATAGCAGCTAGCCCCCTCCCATCTTTTGGGTGCTAAAGGAACAGGGAGACAGAGAGGAGCTACCTGCTTCTGCTTTCCTCTTTTATATGTTAGTAAGCTACCAGGATCCTTGGATGGGTAGAGAGTAATGAAAGGGAAATTCTAAAGCATACTTATTGTTTCTGTGATTTGGGTGGGATGTGAGTGTGATTGGGTGTGATTTGGGAAGGTGACCACTACCTGTCGGTCGTCTTGTTGCGGGCCAGGCTGGTGTGAGAGTCCTTGCCTTCACTAGCCAAAGAGTTGGCTCA